CAGTGTCCTTCTCCAACACTAACCTAACCTAACCAACCCTAACCTAACCTAACGTAACCTAACCAACCCTAACCTAACCTAACCTAACCTAACCTAACCAACCCTAACCTAACCAACCCTAACCTAACCAACCCAAATCTAACCTAACCAAACCTAACCTAACCTATCCTAACCTAATCTAACCTGACCTAACCAACCCTAACCAAACCTAACCTAACCTAACCAAACCTAACCTAACCTAACCTAACTAACCTATCTAACCTAACCTAACCTAACCTAACCTAACGATACTTCCTAACCTATCAAGCCAACCCCTGGCCTAACCTAACTAACCTATCCTAACCTAACCTAACCTAACCTAACCTAACCTATCCTAACCTAACCTAACCTACAACTTATTATAAACTCTTTAATCTGGTAACCATAATGTTTTTGTCTTTCTTAAGTTGGTAACATTGTTTTAAACACTATTATTGATCGAGGTGAGGAGGACACACTGACAGACAAACCTGGTGGGGGGTTGGTGGGGGGCTGGGGGTGGGGTGGGGGTGTGGGGGGTGGGGAGGTTAGTGAGGGGTGGGGGTTGGGGGTGTGTGGGGGGTGGGGGGTGGGGGTTGGTGGGGGTGGGGTGGGGGTTGGTGAGGGTGGGGGAGTTGGGGGGACTTACACTACAGTACTCAACACTCTGGAACACAAAAGCGTGATCTTCCCCACGAGATGCCTCCAGCGACCTGAACACACACACGTCTTGATATGTCAGAAAAAAACAAAACAACAACAACAACAACTTACACAACTACTTATTAATGGCGTCATAAACCTTGTAATAAATTCGTTAATCATTTTGTACAATAAGTTCTTTAATCCCTTATAGAGGTAATTGGATCCTCTTCTCGTCCGCCTCAACAAAGAGTTAGATGAGTTATCTGTCCTCCCTCATTGTGGGATTTTCTGGACATATTATTGGCTAACATAAATAACTACACAAAGATGCGTTTTATTATCTTATCATAGAGAATCCGAATATTCCTATCTATGTGAATCCGAATCCAGTACTAAAGATAAAGGATTCGAACCTCTTAAGACAACTTGACGCGTTTCATTTCAAGAATCACCGTAAGGAGTGAAGATGGGATTGGTTGTCGCTTAATGAGAGGATCAGATCTCCCTTTTCCCAGGCAATACGTGATTATGAAGGATCCGATCCCCTAAAAAATCAGAAGGAATGGCCTCGTCTATACCACGTAGAACCAAAGGGTGGAAACTCGAACCTCTGACTGTCGTAATGAAGGTTGAGGCGAATTAGGAGTTACCCAACAATTATCTAGTATCCTGATAATATGCTTATTCAGTCTAACGAGCTTGTTACACGACGGGAGCTTGTGGTAATTAGTGCCAAGCCAATGTGGTTAATTGTGGTAGGGTGTGGCTACCTGTGTGATGTGGCTACCTGTGATAAGATGTGGTTACCTGTGTGATGTGGCTACCTGTGATAATGATGTGGCTACCTGTGATAATAATGTGGCTACCTGTGATAAGATGTGGTTACCTGTGATATGATGCGGCTATACCTGTGATAAGATGTGGCTACCTGTGATAAGATGTGGCTACCTGTGATAATGATGTGGCTACCTGTGATAATTGATGTGGCTACCTGTGATAATGATGTGGCTACCTGTGATATGATGTGGCTACCTGTGATATGATGTGTGATATGATGTGGCTACCTGTGATATGATGCGGCTATACCTGTGATAAGATGTGCTACCTGTGACCTGGCTACCTGTGATATGATGTGGCTACATGTGATAAGATGTGGCTACCTGTGATAATGATGTGGCTACCTGTGATATGATGTGGCTACCTGTGATAAGATGTGGCTACCTGTGATATGATGCGAATATACCTGCGGTAGGTGTATGGTCGTGATAGGTGTTTGGTCGTGTAGGTGTATGGGTCGTGCAGGTGTTTGGGTCGTGGTAGGTGTATGGTCGTGGTAGTCGTGGTGTATGGTCGTGGTAGGTGTATGGTCGTGGTAGGTGTATGTAGGTGTCGGGTCGTGGTAGGTGTATGGTCGTAGGTGTATGGTCGTATGGGTATGGTAGGTGTATGGGTCGGTAGGTGTAGTAGGTGTGGCGTGGTAGGTGTATGGTCGTGGTAGTTGTATGGTCGTGGTAGGTGTATGGTCGTGGTAGGGTCGTGGTAGGTGTATGGGTCGTGGTAGGTGTATAGGTGTACCGTGTATGTATGGTCGTGGTAGTTGTATGGTCGTGGTAGGTGTATGGGTCGTGGTAGGTGTATGGGTCGTGGTAGGTGTATGGGTCGTGGTAGGTGTATGGGTCGTGTGTAGGTGTATGGGTCGTGTAGGTGTATGGGTCAGTATGGGTGGTAAGGTGTATGGGTCAGGTGTATGGGTCGTGGTAGGTGTATGGGTCGGTAGGTGTATGGGTCGGGGTAGGTATGGGTCGTGGTAGGTGTATGGGTCGTAGGTAGGTGTATGTCGTAGGGTATGGGTCGGTAGGTGTATGGGTCGTATGGTCGTAGGTGTATGGGTCGTAGGTGTATGGGTCGTGGGTCGTGGTAGGTGTATGGGTCGGTAGTTGTATGGTCGTGGTAGGTGTATGGGTCGTGGTAGTTGGGTGTGGTAGGTGTATGGGTCGTGGTAGGTGTATGGGTCGCAGTGTGTATGGGTGGTAGGTGTATGGGTCGTGGTAGGTGTATGGGTGGGTCGTGGTAGGTGTATGGGTCGTGGTAGGTGTATGGGTCGGTAGGTGTATGGGTCGTGGTAGGTGTATGGGTCGGTAGGTGTATGGGTCGTGGTAGGTGTATGGGTCGTGGTAGGTATGGGTCGTCGGTGTATGGGTGTAGGTGGGTCGTGGTCAGGTGTATGGGTCGGTAGGTGTATGGGTCGTGGTAGGTGTATGGGTCGTGGTAGGTGTATGGTCGTGGTAGGTGTATGGGTCGTGGTAGGTGTATGGGTCGGTAGGTGTATGGGTCGTGGTAGGTGTATGGGTCGTGGGTAGGTAGTGGTATGTATGGTCGTGGTAGTTGTATGGGTCGTGGTATGGGTGTATGGGTCGTGGTCGGTAGGTGTAGGTCGGTAGGTGTATGGTCGTGTAGGTGTATGGGTCGTGTAGGTTGTATGGGTCGTGGTAGGTGTATGGGTCGGTAGGTATGGGTCGTGTGTATGGGTGTATGGGTCGTGGTAGGTGTATGGGTCGGTAGGTGTATGGGTCGTGGTAGGTGTATGGGTCGTGGTAGGTATGGGTCGTGGTAGTTGTATGGGTCAGGTAGGTGTATGGGTCGTGGCAGGTGTAGGTGTATGGGTCGTGGTAGGTCGTATGGGTATGGGTCCGGTAGTTGTATGGGTCGTGGTAGGTGTATGGGTCGGTCGGTGTAGGTAAGGTGTATGGGTCGTGGTAGGGTATGGGTCGTGGTAGGTGTATGGGTCGTGGTAGGTCGTAATCAACGTCTTAAACTACAGTCTTAATAATAAAATCTCTATGATAAAAACCTCAGTTAATTTCTAAAGCTACATGAGTAAATAGATTTCATTAATAATTTACAGCACATTTTAACTTTATTACCACATGAGCTCCTCCCCAACTTCCCTATACTTATAAACAAAATGACATGACATGGTGGATAATAAACAAATACGTCACTTATCACGTCACATATTTCTCTCCAATAACATACAACCACCTTTACGTCATACATGCACCCAGTCAATGGTATCACGACCTGTCCTTATGTCATATATGTACCCATCCAATAATATCACTCCCTGTCCTTACGTCATATATGTACCCAGCCAATAGTATCACGACCTGTCCTTATGTCATATATGTACCCATCCAATAATATCACTCCCTGTCCTAACGTCATATATACACTTGGTCAATAGTCCTACAGGAAAAAAGTCAATGGTATCACTCCCTGACCTTACGTCATATATTTACCCAGCCAATAGTATCACTACCTGTCCTTACGTCATATATGTTCCCAGCCAATAGCATCACTCCCTGTCCTTACGTCATATATGTACCCAGCCAATAGTATCACTCCCAACCTTTACGTCAAATACGCACTCAGCCAATCACAATAGTCCTGACACCTGAAGAAACTGTACTTTGCTCCTGTTATGACGTCATGAGTTTTGTACAGTCGTCTGCACTTATACCTGGTACAAGTTAGGTTAGGTCTTATAAGTTATCATCACATCCCCCACCTGAACCTTACATTAATTACTACAGGTGAAGGGAGGGAGTAATAGAGTCAGGTAATCTTAATGTACTGATAACAACTGATAGAGAGAAAATCATAATCCTTGTTGTATTATTCACACACACACACACACACACACACACACACACCTCTCCTTACGATACACATTATCTTAAGACTAACCCGGGAACTCTCTCACTCACACTCTAGTGCCATTCTGAAAACGTTCACTTTGCAAACCTTCCCCTCGAGCGGCAACTACCCATCTCTTGTTTGGAAATGAAGTTTTATCTGAATGGCATTAGAAAATAGAGCAATACTTGAGGAGGTGGAGGGGGGCTGGGTGAGGTGGGTTGGGGGGGCTGGGTGAGGGGTGGGTGGGGGGATGGGTGAGGGGGTGGGGTGGGGGGCTGGGTGAGCGGCGGTGGGGTGGGCTGGGTGAGGTGGGGTTGGTTGGGGCTGGGTGAGGTGGGGTTGATTGGGAGCTGGAGTGAGGGTACAGGGTGGGGGCTGGGTGAGGTGGTTGGGGTGCTGGGTGAGGGTGGGGTGGGGGGCTGGGTGAGTGGTGCAGTGGGGTGGGGGGGCTTTCTTGGAGTGAGGAGTAGGTTGGGGGTGCTGGGTGAGGGTGGGGTGGGGGGCTGGGTGAGGGGGAGTGGGAGTTGGGGGTGCTGGGTGAGGGTAGGTTGGGGGGCTGGGTGAGGGAGTGGGTTGGGGTGGCTGGGTGAGGGTGGGGGTGGGGGGGCTGGAGTGAGTGGTGGGGGGGCTGGGTGAGGGGTGGGTTGGGGGGTAACTTTCTTAATTTTAATATTGAATGTGGCTATCGTATTGTCTGTCCATAAATATTCATCTGTCTACCATTATAGATCTGACGTAATATCACATATATATATATACACACATTAATCTCTAGTGGGTATAGTTTTAAATAACACTTATCTCTACTAGTGGGGGGGGGGGCTTGACTTAGATAATAAACAACCAATTCTAATATGTTGTTTCTTTCTATAATTGAGCTTCACACTTGTGTCATCGGTGTTTGGCTATAACTCTCTATAATACAAACGTGTGGAAAATATCTCATTATAAAGTTATACAGAGTCACTTAACCATACCTAGTGGAATGACACACACTAACGCTATACCCAATATATTCTGTCTCTATGATACTATGATATGAAAGTTATATTTTATTTTCTCCCTTCTAGTGTTATAATACTTTCTAATATACTCCTTGTACAGTATGATAAAAAATACATTCCTTAATAAAAAATCACTTTAGTAAAAAATCTCAAGATGAAATGTCTATGAATACCTACTTATATAAAGACAATATTTTACTCTATAAACCCTTAAGTCACTAAACGGAAAACTTGTTATACCCTGATGTAAACATTTGATGACTCAGCAGTACATAAGTCTCTCTCTCTCTCTCTCTCTCTCTCTCTCTCTCTCTCTCTCTCTCTCTCTCTCTCTCTCTCTCTCTCTCTCTCAGCCTCACACATTCCCCAGTCGTCTCTCGTCTTGATAAAGGGAAGAATGACTCTTATTTTTACGACCATTGTAAAGTAATTTACCATAAAACAACTGCAATAAAACATTTTTGGGGAATTTGCCGCCGTCTTCTTTCTTGTCCCCATTACTCTGAGTCATATTGGGGAGGCTGTTGCTGCGACCCTTAGCTCTGACCATACTGAGGCGGCAGGCACTAGACACAGGTGGTATGGACAAGAGAGTTATGGGTAAATAACTTCTATAATCGACTTTATTGCCCTCACTCAGTTTAGGGACATCGCTCTCATCCCGATAATGCTCCTCTGTGCTGTTGTTATTGGGACACACAGCCTTAGTACTGTCCTCCTTCAACAGCTGAGAGGACCGCCAAACTCTTGCTGGATTCTGAGAGTGTTTTTTACTCAGCTCCTCTACGCCGTTCCCGAAGGAGCAGCTGTGAGAGAACGGCGCCTTTGGGATCCCACCGCGGGGGAACTCGATCAGTACCGTCGTCTGAAGCTCTGTCATCTGATCAAGTTTCCTGCTCTTCTCCAGCGTGTCTCTCCTGTCTTTGAAGGACCTCGACGTCTTCCTGAAGCTATAGGTGGAGATGGTGCTCCTGGGGTAGATCTCCGTCCCTGTAGGAGATATTAGACTCTTGCTGCCCGGGGAGTTAATGGAAGCTTTGCTGCGTCTCCTGTCGCTCACGGTCGGGTGGCTGGAGTAGGAGACATTCTTCTGGAGGAGTGGACCCAGGGAACTGAAGGAGGGGTCATTGGTGTCCCAGCCCTAGCAGGAGGCGAGAGGAAGGCAATGATGTCAGTTCCTATGTGTGACTAATAATATAACATAACATAACATAACATAACATAACAACAACATAATATAACATACAGGCAGACATTACACTATAGTATACATATATATATCAATAGTAAGTAATATAACAGGTACTATAATATACTTAACAAGTTTTAAAGTAAATCTCTTTAAACACTTGTAAAAAATATTTCAAATGGTAATCCTCTCCTCATAATCCTACGAGAGTTAATGGTAATCACCAGAAATCCCCCACGGCATTGGTTAAAATTATTAGTAAATCCCTTGAAATCACTTTATTATCCTCGTGTAATTCTTTTATATCCCGTATAATCCCGAAGTTCTATATATCCGGGTGTATTCCACGTGTAACCCCTTTACCTGGACATCAGAGAGCTCACGTTCCTCCCGTATCTCGCTGAAGGTGCTGACGGAGAAGCCCTGGGCGGCCACATTCCTCAGCCCGTTCAGGAACTTGGGGCGGCACAGCAACATACGCTTCCTCAACTCGTTCTGTGAGCAACAGGTGAATGGCAGGTGAACAATGGCTCTCCTCATGCCTCTCTAACGCCCCTGCTTCCTCCCTAGCTCTCCTCATGCCTCCCAAGCTCTCCTCATGCCTCCCTTGCCTCCCCGGGTCTCACCTTGAAGCGAGGGTGGGAGAGAGCGTAGACGTAGGGGTCCAGACAGGCGGCCGTCTTGCAGAAGAGGGCGGGGATCATGGACACAAAGGGGGTGATGATTGCCTTCTGGCTGAAGATCCCCAGCAGCGCCACCACAGCGTAGGGAGTCCACGCCACCACCCACAGCCCGATGATTCCTGACGCCACCTTGGCTAGTTTCACCTGTCGGGGGAAGAAGAACATCTGGTGAAGGAGGAGGATTAGCAGGAAGTGAGGGAGAATGACAGGTAGTGAGGAAGAATGACAGGAAGTGAGGGAGAATGACAGGTAGTGAGGAAGGATGACAGGTACACAGTGACCAGACAGACGACAGAGGCTAGTGGGTTACTGCATCATCTTGACAGGAAATCCAATCCTTCAAACTGTCTGGATATCGAACCCTGGTCTATCCATCCACTTACAAAACAAACGAACCATCAACTAAGCTATAACTCAAGCATAACCTTAACACAACCTCACCCTTTGACATTTCAAGTGGCACTGATTGAATTAAAACTCCTCTCCAACTTTATCAATGAAGAAAAAGTTACCAAGTATTATATAAAGTGAAATTATAGGGATGTATAATTTGTGGGTACCAAGTGAGGGGAACAATGGAACAAGGAACATGTGAGAGGGGAATCAATGGAACAAGGAACAAGTGAGGGGGACAGTGGAACAAGGAACAAATGAGGGGGAATCAATGGAACAAGGAACAAATACACCAAGCCATCAGGATAAAATGATCATAAGTGCCTATTACTATATTTGTCATCCTATTAACAATAACTAATCTCTAATAGCTGGAGGTTGTCTTTCCCTCTCTTCCTATTGGCTGCTATGCCTATGAAGTAGTGGAAAGGTATTGGTCAAAATTTTACTCATCGCTCAAACTCAAGGTATTAGTAGTGAAGTGTGTGTGTGTGTGTGTGTGTGTGTGTGTGTGTGTGTGTGTGTGTGTGTGTGTTCAACAGTATCTTTGGCTTACCAGCAACACTCGACCTCTGGGCAAGATGGCGTCAAATGAACACAAGTCTCCCCTAGTGAAGGTAACGTGTATACAAGTCTTATCTAAGTTTATATTTCTTATTTAACTCCTCTACGATCCCTCTTACGTTAGCTGGTTACGATAGGAGAGTCATTAACGTAACTATAGTGTAATAAGAGCCTCTACTTTTTTTCATTTGTTTCTCTACCTTCACCAATCTTCTCTCCCTCCTCCCCCCTACCCCCCCCAAGAGGCTTTTTACCTCACCTTAATCTCATCTCCCCATATCTCTCTCCACTCATCCTATCATCCTATTATCTTACCCTAACACCTTATACTCATACAAACTTCAAACTTCCCTCAACTTATCTCAGTCAGTGTAAGTCAGTGAGTCGGGTGTATAAATTTTGTTTTCGTTGTTCAGTATTTGTTTTTGATATTCAGTTGTTATTGTTTTGTTGTTGTTTTTTGGGTGGATTTTGTTATAGTTTTTCTTCCTTCTCTTCCAATAGTTCGTGGAGCTTATACCCTGGCCTCTGTTATCATGGCCCTTATACCCTGGCCTCTGTTATCATGGCCCTTATACCCTGGCCTCTGTTGTCATGGCCCTTATACCCTGGCCTCTGTTGTCATGGCCCTTATACCCTGGCCTCTGTTGTCATGGCCCTTATACCCTGGCCTCTGTTGTCATGGCCCTTATACCCTGGCCTCTGTTGTCATGGCCCTTATACCCTGGCCTCTGTTATCTTGTGCCTCCCTGGCCTCTGTTGTCGCAGCATATACACAGCCTCTGTTATGCAGCCTTGCTCACCTGGCACTCTGTTATCCTTGCCTTTCGCCTCTGTTGTCATGGCATATACTGGCCTCTGTTGTCATGGCCATATACCCTAGCTATCTGTTGTCTTAGCCTTATGCAGCACTCTGTTGTCATGGCCCATATACCTGTGTTTTCCTGTTGCCCTTGCCACCTAGCCTCTGCTATGACCCTTGCCTGGCCTCTGTTGTGTGGCCTTATACCTGTATCTGTTGTGTGACCCATTATACCCATGGCCTCTGTGCTCATAGCCCTTATACCTGGCCTCTGTTGTCATATTGCTCTAGCCTCTGTTGTCATGTATATACCCTGGCCTCTGTGTATAGCTTCCCTTGCTACCTAGCCTCTGTTGTCACCCTATACCCTGGCCTCTGTTGTCATAGCCCTACTGTATCTGTATACTTGTACATATACCTAGCCTCTGTTGCTCATAGCCATATACACAGCCTCTTTATTTGTCGCCTTATATACCACCGCCTCTGTTATCATAGCCTTATACCTAGCCTCTGTTATCATAGCCCTTATACCCTAGCCCTCTGTTGTCATAGCCCCATATACCTATCTGTGTCATATATACACAACCTCTGTATGTATATATACCTGCTCTGTTGTCATAGCCCTTATACCTCTCTTATCACTTGGCCCATATACCCCTAGCCTCTATTATATGGCCCTTATACCTGGCCTCTGTTGTCATGGCCCTTATACCCTAGCCCTCTGTTACTCATACCTAGCCTCTGTGTCGCACTCCTGCCTGGCCTCTGTGTCTTATTTTCTTAATAAATATCTCCTATTCCTTTATTTTTACCTGTTATTAAACCTTATATAAACCTTCTCTCCACACACACACACACACACACACACACGCACACACAACTTTCTTCTTTTTCATCAATATTTATTCTATTTCCTCCAGCTAATCGAATTGGATTTTTTCCCCTAAAATTTTTTTAGTGGCAGAGGAGAGGAAATACTGATTGGTCTGTGTAGGTATAGTGAGCCTTAACACAAGCCTCCTTTAGCTCATTTCTATAACAGGGTTAGGTTAGGTTGGGTTAGGTTAGGTTGGGTTAGGTTAGGTTGGGTGAGGTGAAGACTGTGTTGTATCTCAATGATCAGGTGAGGCAGGTGTCAGCCACTCACCTATTTAATATTTTCTGACTCTCATACATACATACATACATACATACATACATACATACATACATACATACATGCATACATACATACATACATACATACATACATACATACATACATACATACATACATACATATTATTTTGTATGATGACGGAAGAGCGTTTAAAGGGATAGAATTTCGTAGATTATGGGAATTAAAGGAAATATGATAAAGAGGGGATAAAATAATAAGAGACTAAGGATAAGTATTAAAGAGAATTCAAACAACGATGAAGATGATAGAAAGGTCAAGTGTTAGGTCAATAAAGGTCACGTAGGGTCATGTATAGAGACTCTTCAAGGTGTGTAGGGTTGTTTTCGATATCACTCAGGTATACTGGAGCACCTGGCGTAGGCACCTGAGTGTGTTATGAAAGGTGAACTTCCTACGTCGTCACCTTCCATAGTATGTAGAGTGAAAGTCTTCGATAAAACAAGAGTGTGTGTGTGTGTGTGTGTGTGTGTGTGTGTGTGTTTGTGTTCGTGTATACTTCTTAGGTCTGATCATTGTTCCTACACACACACACAGACGGGTTATGTCATCTCCTAGGCCTGGATCACCTACAGGACTTTCCAGACCTCTCTGTTGACAAACCTGGAGATCACAACCACATACACCCTACAACCACTACCGCCACTACTACAACCCCCACCACTACTCTTACGAACTCCACCATCACAACTACCACTCCTCCCCACTACAACCACCACCACCACCCCCACAACTCCCACTACAACCACCACCACCACAGTAGCTACCACCCTCTGCCTGTCCTGTAAGATGACTATTTACGGCATAAGCCAACCAAACTCACCTCTCAATGCCGTCGATTACCTAGGCCAATTAACTCGTTACCTCGGACCCCCTACCGCCACTCACCCGAATCCCTGGTGGCTCGTTGACTTTGGAAAGACTACGACATCAAGATGGTACAGATGTTGACCAAGGCGGAAGGAACATTGTTTTTTTTCAGAAAGTAGAAGTACGTTTAGGTACTTCCCTGTTACTCTACGGAAACGTCAGTACCTACAAGTTCTTCGGGTACTATAACGGGGCCGAATTATAATGGCGATCCCGTGACCCTAACGATGCCATTTGGTGTCATCGGTCGTTATCTCAGACACAGGTAGACTCATCACCAGCACACACACACACACACACACACACACACACCTTGGTTGTCAGGAGTCATGGTCAAACTATTTATCATACGGAAGATATTTGGCGTCATAAAACATTACAATTTACTACGAGTTAATTAGGTTAATCTGTGCATATTCCAGAAGAAATATAAACATCTTTTAACATATTTGGTGAGTTCTTTTGGACAGAATATGAGTGAAAAATAGACAAAACATGAGACTATATCGTCTTTCCAAATTAATTTACACCTAAATAATGAGTAAATCTTGAATATTTCCCAGCGCCACAACCTAACCTAACCTAACCTAACCTAACCTAACCTAACCTAACTTAACCTCTACAACCCCTTCACTAGTCTACCTAATTATCTTACCTGTAATTAATTAATGTTATGAGACTATATTTAAGGTTGTTTCTTTTACACGTAACATGTGTCCAGGTGGTGTTAGGTGCGTCTGTCTGTCCGTACCACCTCACGTCCACTGTAACCTCAGACACGTGATGGTTTATAACTGAAGTAAATGTATAACTTACTTGTCTAATATAATAATAAATGAATGAGGTTAATTATTTATCCCTTTATGTGCTCCTCCTCTCTGGGACTATACACATTGTAAAAGATATATATATATATATATATATATATATATATATATATATATATATATATATATATATATATATATATATATATATATATATATATATATGTATATATATAACACGAACATTCACACGATCTCTACTGTAATTTGTAAGGTTGTTTGTTTACATTTTTCTAAGACATTTCATAGGTATTTGTAGCTCATTATCCATCTCTTAGGACTTAATCTCCTTGGCAGTATCCTCAACGCTGTATTTTATTCCCATATTATCCATGTCATTCATCAATCTATCTAACTCATCTTTTGAATCATCTATCCATTATCTCGTCGTCTGGAAATAGAACAGCATCTATAATGTGTTGTGTAATGGTAGACTCTGCTGCCATATGGCATCACAAAAATTGTAACCAAGTCCCAGGTTGTTGATCTGACTCTGCCTCATTTACACACA